TTCCCCCCCCCCCCCCCCCCCTCCAAGACGATCAAAATGCGTGAAACATAAACAAGACGTGAGGGCGACACCATTCACCGCATGAAAACCCACACCGACAAGAGAAAACACGATGGCCCCCCTCCCACATCTCGAGGACGTGTGGTCAATGATCTAACAACTAAGGCATGCAAAACATAAGTACGCCCCCCCCCACCCCCCCAAATACGATGCAAGAAAGACGGTCCTGCTGCCTTTGTGACACGAACTAGGAGAGAGGGAGACAGACACCACGGCTCAACTATACACGAATTTATGTTGCCGAAGCGGCACCATCGAAAATTCTAGGGGCCTTCCTTCCTTTCCGGAGCTCTTGTTGTCTATGTGGGCTACAGCGGCCACAGCATTGGAGATTTTACGACACTTTTAAGTGGGCGGTTCTAACGGGACATCACAAAATACGTGCTTGTTCTCTGACACTTTGTGCCCCATAATCGTTTCACTGCTATCATGTGGGCTCCGCGGCGTTATTGTACCAACCGGGGTCAAGAACAACTAGGGTAACAGTGTAGTACGACCGACATTGCAACTGGGTTCCGAGGGAACCGACAAACGACAAGAGACGGGACGAACACAGAGATAAAATAACACCAACGACAAGAATCGATGAAAGACAACACCATCCTCGAGGAGGCGAACATCCGTTCGCTTTAAGAGACAAAAAACAAGCCAGATCAATTTTTTTCGCGTGGGAGCAACAACGGCGCGAGCGCATGCGTTCTTCACGCGTAAGAGCGTGTTAAGCCACACAGCTTGCAAAAAAACTCGATACGGTACTAGTGCCTGGATGGATGGATGGATGGATGGGACAGTAAGAGATGATAGCCCGAAGGTCAACGGCGCGACGTCTACTCGGCACTGGCCAAGGGCAGCATGGCGTACTCCGCCTTGCCCCCCAGCTTCTTCTTGGGCTTGTGCGCCGCCGCCGTCGCCGCGGACTCCCCGCGCTTCTTCGCGGCTGCACAGAGGCTCTGGCGCGACCGCGCCCCCGCCGCAGCCGGCCCGTCGCCACTGCCGGTGCCGATGCTCGGCAACCGGTGGAGCGGGACCATTTGCGGCATAGACTCGCCGTCCGAGTCATCGTCAAGGTCCGGTTTCCGGCCGGCCTTGGCAGCATCGACAGGCCTCGGCCACACGTGCGACGGCCGTTCGAGCCCGCCGTGGCGGCCGTCGGCGGTTGGCTCCAGCGGTCGGCTTGGCAGCGGCGGCGGGGACGGCGAGGAGGACGAAGACTCCCAGCCGCGCAAGGGCGGGACCTTCGAAGGACCGGCGGGTGGCTCCTCGTCACCGTCGAGGGTGTCGCTGACGGACAGGTCACGGCGACGGCGAGCGCCGCCTGTGGGCGAGATCGTGCCCGCGTCCGTGCTGTGGTAGCCGAAGATGCAGGGGCTGGCGGTCGGGGCCCAGCCCTTGTGGCGCCTCTCCGCGGGACCCCCCTCAACCTTTCCGGAGCCGCCGCTGCCGCCGCCGACGGCCTTCAGCTCCGTCATGTCGACCCCCACGCCGGGCCCGAGACCCGCCGCCGCCGCGGAGCCCCCGGCGCTACCGCCGCTGCTGCTGCTTTCGTCCCTGCCGTCGGCGTGGCTAAACGAGTGCCCGCAAATCGCTTCAAGGGCAACCGCACCGCGGCTGCTGCTAGCAGCAGCGGCGGCGGCGGCGGCCGCGGCCGCGGCGCTCCTGCTCCTACCACCACGGGCACAAATATCGCCGGTGGCGCGGAGGGCGGCCTGGACGGGAGGGGCGCCGCTGCCGTGGATGCCCTCGTGGCGCCGGTGCCGCGCTCGCTCCCTCGCGAGAGAGCGATCACCACCGCCGTCGCCGTCGTCCGAGCCAACGGGGTCGTCGGCAGAGTCGGCGATTTCCTCCGGCCGCGCTCGCGTCCACCCCACGCCGCTGGCGCCCCTCTCCTTGTCGAGATCCAGCTTGCGCTGCACCTTCCTCAGCATCGCATCGGTGATCTGTTTTTCCCGCCGCCAAAGGCAGAGATAGCCGTTGGTATTGGGAGGGGGGAGGCGACGCAAAATCAAGGGAGAGAGGGGGTGGTGAGGAGAGGCGCGGAAAGTAGTGTCTACCCGCCGCCCGCGGTGATCGTTTTTTTTTTGTGGGAGGGGGACGAAAAATCAAGAGAGCAAGAACCGGGTGAGGAGAGGGTGGAGAAGTAGTGGCAACACGGAGGAGAGGGTGGAGAGGAGACAGAGCGGCGGGCGGGCGGAGAGCTGGCAACACTGCCGCATGATGCCAAAAAAAGTACAACCAAAAGAAACAGAGGCAACTAACTGTTGCACGTTCGTCTTTTACAATAGCCAATCACTGAAAAGACGACCAGTTCGAGATATAACCAACACAACCGAACGGGATACAGAAGCGTATCGTAGAAGTATTACAGTCTAGATTTTCACACCTTGATGGAAAGGGCCGTCGGCACGAGGTTCTCCTTCTCCAGCACCCACACGCTCTCGTGCGGGAACTGGCTGAGGTAGGTCATGATGGACTCCAGGTCGAGCTGCAGGAGGGTTAGCTCCGACAGCTTGAGGATAGCCAGCGCGGCCCGGAAGAACACCTGGTTCGACGACGGCAACCGCAGGCAGCAGAGCACCGTGAAATCGGCGGCGACACAGCATTGAGCGCCAACACTAAACACAGTGCGGGGATGCATAAGTACAGAGGGCCCCGCAAACGACCGCCGCGGCGGCGGTGCTACAGAGTTGAGCGCCCACACTGGAAACATGCCGAGACAGTCAGTCTCTCAAAAGCTAGCCCTAAGCGTGGTGGATGCAAACTCGATGAACCCATCATTCTTCACACGAACCGTACCAGTGTACCCACCCTGCAAAGAACAACTGTCTACACTATCACGATGATTCCGCAACGGAGTTCCTATCAACCATACCATCACCTCCCCGTACCTTGTACGATCGTTCCGTGACCCAGTTGTCCCACAGCCACAGCAGCGTGTCGGAGGGCATCCGCGAGTTGTACAGAAACAACGTCTGGAACCACCCCACGGCAAAGAACGTCACATCCACGTCCTGCACGGGAAAAACAACCAGAGGGGGAGACAGTGCCGGGGAGGCGGGGGGTACGCGGAATGGTAGATATTAACAGGTGGTCTGCGGACCGAGTTTCTCTCACAGACAGACGGAACTGACGTGGCGCTCTTCCGTTGCGAGGAAGGAGCCAAGATCGTATACACCGACAGGCTTAACAAAGAGGCTCAATGCACCCGCTGGTATCTTTCTCGATAGGCGGCACTCTTGCCGGGTTGAGACCGACTCCCGGCCCGACGTGGATCACAAAAAATGCGAGTTCACGGGGGGGGGGGGGGGGGGGGGGGCCCGCCGGAAAAAAAAAACCCCCTTTTTCCCCCCGGGGGGGGGGGGGGGTCTCCTCCTGGGGTTTTTCAAGGGAGGGGCCCAAACCTTTTTCGGGGATTTTTACAAAATGGGAATTTTTTTTTTTCCCGGGGGGCCCCCCCCTTGAAAACCCAAAAGGGCCCCGGGTTCCCATTCCCAAAAAACCCCCCCAAATTAACCACCCCTACCCGTTTTTTTTTAACCGGGG